AGTGGGAAAGCTGGAGCCTATTTAAATGATAGCTGCAATCTCGTGGCACAAAAATAGCTTCTACATGTTCCCTGAGCAGATTTAGGACACTAAGTGATCACCTAGAAATGAAAAATAAACACTTAACTCCCATCAAACATAATTAGCCAATAGTTCAGCCTGGTATAATAGCTCCATCCAGGTATTGGCACTCGAAATAAGCCAAGCACACCTATCAACCACCCAAACAGCAGCAGGAAACACTCTTTTTCCAGCTAAATAACCTCTCAGAATCAAAGCCATTAGCAAAAGGAACATGGACTTCAGAGCACATGGAAATGGCATCAATGTAAACACCTCCCTGCTGGCTTTAGTGCTGTGCCAAGGCCCGCCTGCCCCATGCCACAGATCCCAAGTGGGCACTGCTGAAGTCACTGACACCTCCTGCAGGAAAACAAGGGCAGCTCCTTGCTCTGCTCAAGGTGTCACTGACGTCAGCCCCAGCAAGGAAAAGCCTCGGTGAACACTTGGATCTCCAAGGGGGAAAAAAGTTTCCAGGTCACCTCTAGCTGAGAAGTGTAACAAAGGAATCATTCTGGTCTTGAGCAGGGATTTTTGGGCTGCTGCCAGGGAGAGAAGGAAATGAGCCCAGAATGTGCTCTGAGGAGGGGCAAGATGTGCAAAGCTCAAGTGGAAATCCTGAGCTTTCAGAGGGATCTGCAGGCAGCAGGCAAGCAGGGCTGAGCTCCCTGCAAACACAACAAGGGACACTGAACACCTGGGCTGGACCCTCCTGCCTCAACTTCTGCTTCAAGCCAAAGATCACAGCTCTGAGCAGCAAGATGTGGTGTAAATAACCTCTGGCTGGAAGAACTGATTTATTTTTCACGTGGGAAAGAGACCCAGAGGAGCAGATTTAACCAGCTCATGCAATAGGCAGCATAACTGGGATTAGGGTACCTGACTGATCCTAATCACAAGGACATCTCTGCTCTTCCTCTGCTCCCTGCCAGCTCCAGCACTACAGATCCTGTTCCATCATCACTTCCCACACGTCCTCAGGATCTGCAAACCATCTCAGCAACGTCAGCTGGGCCTCCAGTGCTGCAGGTAGGGCAGGGGAAGGTAGGGACCGCCCCCTCTCAGTGGTGATGAAAGGCCAGGCTTACATCTGCAGCAAAAATGTGGTTAAAGAACCCCTCCCTGGCCATAATGCAAGAGCTCTGGCAGGGAATGGGTCTGACTCTGCTGGGGCAGCGTTGCTTAAGTTTGGTTTTTTGAGCACAAGTGTAAAAAAAAATAAAATTAAATGAGGATAATGATAGAAAAATACCAGCGGGGTGCCACAACATCTTCATTAGCAACTTGAGAGAGGATGCAAACAGCAGGGAAATTAAATCTGCAGACAGTGCTAAACAGGGAGTGGGTGACAGCAGTGAAAGGGCTGAGAGGTAATGGGAGAGTTCCAGTGGGACAGACCACAAAGCATGGAATCACAGACTGGATAAAGGTGCAAAGGACCTTAAAGCTCATCCCATTCCACCCCTGCTATGGGCAGGGATAGTTCCCACTAGAACAGTGCTCCAAGACCTGTCCAACTTGGCCTGGAACACTTCCAGGGATGGAGCAGCCACAGCTTTTCTGGGCACCTGTGCCAGGGCCTCACCATCCTCACAGGGAACAATTCCTTTCAGTATCCCATCCATCCCTGCCCTCTGGCAGTGGGAGCCATTCCCCATATCCTGGCACTCCTTGTCCCAGTCCCTCTCCAGCTCTCCTGGAGCCCCTTCAGGCCCTGCAGGGGACTCCAAGGCCTCCTCAGAGCCTTCTCTTCTCCAGGCTGAACACCCCCAGGATGAAGAAAAACAGACCTAAGACCTGGAAGAGTCTCCCTTGCCTATGGGAACAAATAGTCACAAGAGTCAAACCAAACTTTTGTGGCTGCCAAAAAACACTGGATCACCACCAAAACACCGTGAGCAAGCCAGGAACTATTTCATCCTCGGGAGGTTGGTATAACCTGCAAGTGAGGCTCACCCTGCACTTGTGAAATGATTTCTTCTGGAACATGCAGGAGCCTCCAACAGGAGGTGGTGAGGAGGAGAGGTGTGAGTCAAAGCACAGAGCCTGGAAAAGCTCCACCAGAGCTCAATCCCTGAGAGGTCTCTGCTCTGCATCACCTCCCCTCGCCTGCTCACACATTCCCTGAAAATACCCAATGTTTCTGCACGCCCTAAGCGGTGGGAAAGCATCGTGTTCCTTGCCTTTCTGCCTGAGCTACAAGGAGCCTTTGCACACTGGATCACAGTGCTGACACTGCTGATGAAGCCAGGCTGAAACACCCACGTGAGCAACAGGAATTTCTTACTCCTGGCGAGACCCAACTCACATTTCTGAGCTTTGTCATCTTACTGACAATTGCAATTAAATTCAGCTCAGCCTCCTTCAGACGCACTTGCTGCTCCTGAGAGCCCAAAAAACCAGATATTTCCTAAGAAAGCAACTGCAGAAAGGCTCAAATCTCTGGATTTTAGCTCACAAGTGAGGGAAATTACCACTGCTTAAAGGAATCCTGGGAAAAACAGACAAACACACCATAAAAAAGCAGGAAATTTGGGATTATAAGCAGTTTGGAATATGGGAGCAGCAAAAAGGCACAGAAATGCAACCTAGGAAAGGCCAGAGCATTGAGGAGAAGGGGAAATCTGCCACTAACAGGTTGGATAATGGTGCTCCTGGACACACAGCTCTGCCTCCAGTCCCTCTGCAGCCAAGCAGCGCCCACAAACTGGGAGGGATTCCCAGAGAATGTGGTTAATTGGGAAGGTCCTTCCTAGGAAGATTGAAGCTGGTTACCTACAGCACAATTCCCAGCTCAGAGCTGCTGTCACAGCCATTCCACCAATGCCTGAACAACATAACCACAAGATAAAACAAGAGCAGGGATTGTGACAAACAAAAGTACTTGTAAGAGACCAAGATCTATTTTCCACCACAGCAGGAGATGGACAGAAACCTACACTGAAGCCCAAACTGAAAATCAGTGGATGCTACAAAAGAAAATCCCTACTTTGGCCTCAGTGCCCCTTCCTCTCCCTCTCCCATGGCTTGTTCCCATACAAAGCCAAATATTCCTGTAGGTTTCATGGTATTCCAGTCCCAAAGCTCCCTCTGCTGCTCATGCTCTGACTTCTCTGCCTTCCTCCTGTAATGAAGAGACACAACCTCATCAGAAATACACTCCCTGTCTTTCCAGGCATCTCTCCCAGGTAAAATCCTCACAGGGTTGGGAAAGGCAGAGGAGCACTCCCTGAAACACAGCCCCAACTCCTGCTGCTTCTCCAACTTTTCACAGCAAGATCATCCTGGTGCATTCCTTCCCAAGGAACTCATTTATTTCACCTCACAAGATGGTCATCCTTCACTATCAAGCCCTACAAGGTTTGGTGATTCAAACCTGACATGCACAAGGGGCAGTGGAGTGAGCAGGGATGAAATGGGATCAGGAGCAGCCGTGCTGGGCTTGGTGCTGAGTGCAGGTTTTGTAAGTCCATAAAACACAGCTCAAGGAAAGCTCCTGCTCCAGATTTTGGGAGCGTGGAGTCAGTCACAGCATCAGGCTCAGGTCTCAAGAAGGTCTCTAGTCCAACCTCCTAACCAAAGCAGGGCCAACACTGAATTCAGGTGAGGCTCCCACAGCTTTGTCCTCTTGGGTCTTGAAAACTTTCCCAGGTGCAGACTGTCCAACCCCTTGGGCAGTGCCTGCCCCACTGCTGGGCCATCCTTATGGTGATTTCTTTCCTTAAGCCACATTGAACCCTCCCCTTTCAATGTATGACCCTCCTGCCTTGTATGTCAGCACAGAGCCCAGCTCTGTCTCCCAAAAACCTCCTTGCAGGAAAGGAAAGATCTCTGTGTCTCCTGCCTCTCCCCACAGGGCTCCAGCCCCTAACCACCCTTGTGGTCTCCATGGGATTTGCTCCAATTTATCAACAATTTTATGGTGACCCAAGTATTCTAGATGTGGTTTAACCACAGCATAGTTACCAGTTTCTACTGGTTTTGACTCCTCTGGGATTTGTGCCTACTCCAGAATAGCAGGTTAATAGATACTCTCCACTCTGTCTATTGGATGCAAGAAGTTCATGGGGTTAGTAAAGCATGAGTTTATCCTTAGGTAAATCCACACTTGCTATTCCTAATGTCCCCTTCCTCCATGTGCCCAAAACTGTTTTATTGGTTTTATAAACAAAAACAAATGTAAACTGGCTTCCAAGAGCAATCTCTATGAGGTTCCCAGAGTCCAAGGTGAAGCTGCCTGGCCTGAAGTGTCCAGATCTCTTCCCTTTCCTTTCCAACCACGGCTGCAACAGTTACAAAGTCCTCTCCTGCTTTCCATAACCATCCCAAGCTAAGAGTGGCCTCACAAGGTCACCTGCCAATGCTCTCAGCACATCTGGACACACATCAGCATCACCCATGGACTTTCACAGGCTGAGATTTCTCAAGAGACTCCTGATTCCAGCCTTGCTTCACTGCAGGTAGTCCTGTGGCTCTCCTGTCCATCCTCCCTGGTGGCAAAGAGCTCACCTTTCCATCTCCAGGTCACTCAGTGCCCCAAACAGGGCACAGCTCTCCCCAGCCAGGCCAGTGTGACAGCACCAGTGGGGCCACTGTGACCTCCAGCTCCTGTAAGGAGATCCAGCAGCCCTGGCCCATGATCCCTCTGCACAGGCCAAGCCATGTGTCCCACACCAGGGCAGCGAGTGCCACTGGCCCCACAGGGCAGGGACAAGGTCCCAAGGCACAGCACCACCACTGGGGCAGAGCTGTCCATGTTTCCATGCTGTCCTGAACTGCCAGGCCCCCTCATGTCCTCTGCCACAGAAATCCCTGCAGGAACTTGGGTCTTCTCAACAGAATCTAAAATTTCCACTCAATGTCTTCTCCAGAGGCAAGTTCCACTGCTTTAAAAGCCTGCTGGCTACTGCAAGCATGGGAAGGTTCATTTCTGTACTCACCTGCTCCTGAAATTGTTCCTGTGATAAACAATCAGTCACGTCCACACAGCCCAGGAGGCATCCTGAGGGATAATCACTTGGAAATTCCACATCTGCAGCACAAGAAACAGCTCTTCAGGGAGCCCAGATTCCCACACACAGCTGGGGTCTCCCAATCCCCAAGTGACCTTCCCTCTCCTCCAGGCACCTCTACTTTTTGAGGCACAAAAACACATACAGCAATTTTAACACTTTTTTTTGGTGCCTTTTCCAGGTCAGGATCTTCCTCATAAAGGGCTGGGACATTTAATTTTATGTACAGCACTCCCTACTCAGAAGAGAGGGATTTCTGACACTGCTCGTGACGTGGCTCAGTGTACCAAACCACTGCAAGAACCAAGGAGAGGAGTTCACCTTTCCTGTGCAGCATTCTGTAGGTGGCCTCCAGCTCTGAGATTTCCTGAGGGGAAGGTCTTTTAGCAGTAGCTGCAATCCATAACCTGCCTCGATGAGATGTGTACCAGGTCCTGCCCTCCACCCTAAAGAACAGAGGAAAAGGCAGGACTAAAACTTCAGCAGAAATCCCCCACATTTTCATTCAAACATAGTCAATTCCTGCTGCTAAGCTTTGCCCTGATTACCCCAACTCAAGCAATGTGTCAGGACCACAAAGAAAAGCTGAGATAGGCAAAAAACAATGTCACAAATAAAGCAGAGCATGTCCTCAGGGCTTTAGAGGACACCAATCCCCAGCAGAACACACACTCAGGACAATCTGCTCACACAAGTCCCTCACAAGCTCCCAAAGTCACACAGAAAAAAATCAAGGGAGCAATAAGGGATTAGGTCTCTGCATGGAACAGTTGTCTGGAGATCCTGGAATTCTGCAGCTGGAGCATCCCCAGGACACCTGGATGAACAATCCTGGCACATTAAGATTTACAGCATCTTTAGCTTGGGAAGTGAAAAAGCCTTGGTCTCCAAAATGAGAAATGTGGTGAAGGAAAAAAAAGGCTAAAGGAGATTGTTTGTTCACTATTAACAGTAGCAGCTCCTTTTTGTAACCCAATTCCCAGCCCAGGAGGGTGAAGGTAGTGGCAAGGGTTGGGTTTCTTTTAAACAAAGCCTGGTGCCACTATTGCTTCTTTAGGCTGAACAAAAACCCAGAAGAACATATTTCAAGTGATTACCTTATTTGCTTTTCAAGTTTCACACAGGAACGCCTCAACTACAGCAGTGAAATCTCAGCCTCTCTCTACACTCACCCACTGTGAGGAAATTTGTCCCTTACAGTTGAGGTACTATCCCAAATAAGAAGATTGTGCAGCTCCTCAACTCATCAACGCACTGGAAGAGGAAGCACAACTTCCACACCTGGAGTTATCACAGATTGCACAGGCCACAGAGATGCTCTGAGGAACACAACCTCCCACCTCCCTGTGGAGCAGGAGCTGCCTGGGACACCTTCACCTTTTGATGCCTCTCACAAGCAGGGAAGCCCAAGGCTGGTGCAGGCTGAGGCACCATCCATCATCCGAGATCTCCTGCAGCTCCCGGTCCTGGATCCGCAGGCGGCTCCGCTCCGAGCCACCCTCGCCTCCAGCCTCCATGGAATGAACAGCTTTCCTTGGTGGGAGCAAACCAGTCTGGTCCACCCACTTGGGAGTGTTCAAAAGAAACAGGAAAAAGGTTAGCACCTCTCCAGGAGTAATGTGTGCAAATCCTGTCTTGAAGTTTTCCTTCATTACCCTCATGCTCTTTGGGAAATGGGAATCTGGCAGAAAAGGCTTCAAAAAAATAGAGGTGAAAGGGTGACACAGCCTTAGGCTGACTCTCAGAAGCTCTTCTGCATGCCTGAAAAGGAGGCAGGATGCTAAAAATCCAATAAACCAACCCACCATGAGCAGGGCATTGTCAAACCTTCTCTATCCCAGACTGAGATGGCCAATGAGGGACACGAGGGAGGAAACAAGGGGAAACGGGCAATGGCTTCCCACTGGCAGAGGGCAGGGTTAGATTGGATATCAGGAGAAATTATTTACTGTGAGAGTTGTGAAATGCTGAAACAGCTTGTCTAGAGAAGTCACTCCATCTCTGAAAGTGTTCTTGGCCAGGCTGGACTGATGAAAGGCGTCCCTGCCCATGGCAGGGGATGGAATGAGACTCTTTAAAGTCCCTTTCAACCCAAACCGTCCTGTGATCTTTTCTCCAAAAGATCCCCTTCTACAGACAATTCTCAATCTCAACTCCCCAAAATCAGTCACTACTCTGGAATAAACCACAGAAGCCCCACTGACCAAAGGAGCAGGCTGGAGGAGACGGGGATTCACCAAAACCCCCGAGTTTGGTGTCATCTCTGCCCCAGGGCTCCTGGCTGGCTCGCTCAGGGCACCACAGCTCATGGCTGCAATGGTCTCATCCAGCCTGCAAGCACAAAGGAGAGGGATGAACATTCCCTGCCTCCCCTGGGAACATCTCCCTTCTCCCCACATACTCAGACTCAAAGCATTTTTGCCCCATTCCCCCCAAATAAATTACTTCCTTGCTCAATCTGATTTCCAGTTTGAGGACTCACTGCTCTGTAGTGCAGAAACTCAGCTTGGTGTGAATCTGAGCTCAAGTGGCTCTGTTGAGACAGGCCTTCTCAAACACCTCTTTCCCAGGCGTGTCAGACCCCTCTCCATACGGATTTGCACCTCCTTGCTCCCGGGCACGCTGCCAGCCCTCACTCACTTGCTGTGGTACTCAGCCATGTTGCTGTCCTCCTCCAAGATCTGCCTGCCAGCGAAGTCGATGGTGATTTTCCTGGCCAGCCGGGAGGCGTGGCGCAGCTCCCGCAGCTCCTGCTCCCTCTTCTGGAGCGCTTCCCTCTCCTGCTTGGACAGCCACTGGTTGGAGTCCGTGGCAAAGTAATCCGACTCGTCATCAATGACCTGCGTCCGCCGCACGCTGCGAGAGCAGCCCCCACAGGAGAAGGTGAGCACGGCACAGCCTCAAACCCACCCTCCAAGCTGTGCAGCCCCACTTGTCTCCTCACAGAGAAAAGCAAGGCACAATTCCTCCCAAGAATATTCTTATCTCGTTTGCTGTGCCTGTGTTTGTGCAAAAGGAGAATGCAATGTGGAGATTGTTTAGCCAAAGTGATGGGGTTTTGTTTCCTTGGCCTATCAGGGGATTGTGTGTGTTGGGACTGTCTCTGACAGTCACAAAATTCTGTGCAGAGTTGAGTGCTTGGCAGATTCAGTTTAAATGTAATGGTGTAATATAATATAGAATAATATAGTATAATAAGGTAATTAATTAGCCTTCTGATTGATGCATCTGACTCCATCCTTTCTCTCCCCCTCATCAGGGTTGCCTGTGAATTCCATAAACCTCTCTTTCCCATCCCTCTGGAGAGCAGGACTGTTCAGAGACAAAAAGCAAAGGGATCCATTCCAGAGACTCACTCCTGTCCCACTCAATGCCTTAGTTAAGGTGTCAGTGGCTGTCACTGTGATATTTCATGAAAAATCCCTTTGTCAGGATTTTTCTCCTGAGAAGCCTCAGAAAAGAAATGTAAACAATATGGAATGTGGTTTGGAGGTTGTTTACCAACAGGAGCATCTTGGATTGGTTCCATGTGAATTGTTTTTACTTCATGACCAATCCCAGTCCAGCTGTGTCAGATTCTCTGGTCAGTCACGAGTTTTTATTATTTATTCTTATTTTAGCCTTCTGATGTCTCCTTTCTCTCTTTCTTTAGTATAGTTTAAGTACATCATTTTCTTTTAATATAATATCATAATATAAGAGAACTTAGATTCTCATCTCTCACCTCATCCTGGGTACCCCCAACACCACAAGTGGCTGTGGGTTTTAGAAGGAATTCCCAACATTTCTGCTACAGGCAGCTCACCTGCCAGGTCATTTATGCTGTTCATAAGAGTCTTCCACCTAGTATCTTACCTTGTCCTATCAAACTCCAGCAGTTTGTCCTTGTGCTTCACAGCCATCTCCAGGCCTGATTTGAGTCTTGCTTCCTGCTGAGGCAGCAGGCCTTTGCTTATGGCATCCAAATTCCCTGAACTTTCAGCACCTGAGGCACAAAACAAAACACAGCTCAGCACTCGGTGTGTTAAAGCCATTTGGGCTGCAGAAATGTCCCCTAAACTAAATCACATGCTAGGAGCTGAAAGCACAGCTTTTCAGGAAGATCAGCATCTTTCTGGGAGGTTGAAGCCACAATTTTCCCTCAAGCCCATTTCAAAAACTCCTTCCTCCAAAGAGAAGGAATCACTTAAATATCACAGTGATAAAGTCTGGGTAGAGGTTAAGGAGAAGCTCTTGGCCTTTGGCTTTCCTTCACCCTTCCCTAACAATTTGGGCAGTCAAAACCCCTCCCATCACCAACCATGGGCCTCAGGCCATAGAACCATGGAATGGTTTGGGTTGAAAAGGACCTTAAAGCTCATCTCATTCCACCGCCTGCCATGGTGGAACACCAAGGACACCTCCCACTATCCCAGGGTGCTCCAAGCCCCATCCAAGCTGGCCTGGAACACTTGCAGGGATAGGACACCCACTACCTCTTTGGGAGACCTGTGCCAGAGCCTCACCATCCTCACAGAGAAGGATTTCTTTCCAAAATCCAGTCTAAATTTCTCATATTTTAGTTTAAAACCATTCCTTCTTGTCCTATCACTGCCCATTTAAGTAGTCCTTCTCCCTTCTTTTCATAAGCCCTCTAAGACTGGGAAGGGCTCAAAGGTCTGGAGGCTTTTCTTCTTCAGTAACAACCCCAGTTTTTTAGGAGTCCCCTCCTAAAAGCCAAACCCTTCCTACACATTGTTACCCCCACAAAGAGCCTCTTGCCCAGGACAGATTCCAGGCAGACCCAGAGCCTTCTGCTGCTGTTTGTGCCTCCCTCAAACCAGATCCTCTTCTGACACACCACACCAGATTCCCAAACCAGCTGTTTCCAGAGATGGAGAAATCTATCCCCAGCAAATGCTCTTCCTTCTTACCCCTCCTGGCAAGGGGCCCAAACCCACCCAACCAACAGGGAATAACCAAAAAAAGCCACAATAAAAAGTTTGAACCCAGGCCATGATGGAACAAATCAGTGCACTTCACCACACTGGGAAATGCCTTCATTTCAGGGAAACAATTGCCTATATTTCCCTTTGGTCACTGATGCACAATTTTTACTCCCAAACAAACAGCAAACCACATTCCAGCTTTTACCTACACAGAGAACAAAACAAGAGCTGGCAGGGCCAGGAGGGAAGGAGACAAAACAGGTAAGAAAAGAGATCCTGAAGTGTGCCAACATCTGTATTGGAAGGACAAAACAGACTGGCTGGTGCTCTCAAGGACTCCATCTTCTGCCATCTCCACAGCTCTAAGGAGAAGCCCAGATCTGCAGTAAATATTTCCCCAGTTCCTCAGCAAAGTTTCCAACCAAGAACACCACGACCTTGGCTGCAGTTCAGCTAAACTCAGACAAACATCCCCACAATGCACAGGTCCTTGCTGGGACACTGGGTTGTATTTCCTCTTGCTTTCCTTGGCTCTGTTCCCATTTCTAGCTCCCAAGGTAAGTGTGAGACAAGAAGAGCCATTAGAAGATATTAACCACCACCTCTCTAAGCCCAGCAAATCAGACAGCAGCACTTTATCTTGCACAGCACACATTCCACAGGAGACTTATCCTAATTTCCAAGGACTGCTACAAGAATCCAGCTCATGGGATTGATTCTGGAAGGCTGAATGAGCAGCCTTGGGGCCTCAGGGAAAGGACACCACACACTGCCACTGTCACCTCTGCTGAAGCCTGGCAATGCTGCCTAGGGCTTGCAGGAGGAACCAAGGGAAAACTTCCAGTCCATCCCTTTAATGCCAGACAAAGGGCAGCAATGAGGGCAAGTGGCTCAGTCAAGTCTGAAGGAAATAATGCACACAAACCATTTGGATCCATTCTATTCCAGGTATGGAATGGCCACTGACCTGCCATGAGCTTCTTCAGCAGCTTCTGGCTCTTGTTGGAGTCCCGCTGAAGAATGTCCTGCTCTTCTTTAGTGCACACCTGAGCAACAGAAGGAAATTAAGGCTTGAGAAGGAAGGACATCACATGGAAAAGATGCCACAGCTTGACCATTTCAGAGCCCTGGACAACAGTTCAGACTGTTTAAAGTGGCAGTGACAACCCACACCTCCTTCTCTTCCCCACAGACATGGGGAGAAGCCTGGAAGCTCATTCTTTACTAAAGAGAAAAGTAGAGTTTGGTCTCTCCCTGTTCTGTGGGTGGACATGTTGCTGATTGAGCTCAAAGGACAAGAGATGAGCTCAAAACTATCCCAAGCAGAACCACAACCCTTAATTCAACAGTTTTTCTCTCCTTCTTGGCCACTGGGAGTTAAACTGATCTTTCAAAATAGCAACCAATCTGCTTTAAAACATTTTGCTCCACCCAGTTAAAATTCTCCTCTCACATGGAGAAGAATCTCCTCTGCCATCAATAACTTGTCCCCTTTCTCCAAAAGGTGCCCTTTGAACTGAATCTGGTATCCCAAAGCATCCATATCACACAGGAGTTGAAGGAAAAGCAGGACACTGCTCCTGACAAGGAGATCAGGGCTGTGCCTGGGATGGGGCTGAAGCCTTGCAGAGATTTTGGACACTGCAGAGACACACAGCAGACTGTCAGAAACCAGACAAGCTCCAAAGCCATGTAAATTATGGGGGAAACCTCCTAACAGGTTCTTTCCTTTCCTGATTTAGAACTCTGCAAGAGGAAATTCAATCTGAAGGGCTAATACAGCCAAATTCTCCAGGTCCAAGCAGGGCACAGAATTCACAGAATCACTGGGTTGGAAGAGACCTTAAAGATCATCGAGTCCAACCCATCATCTCAAATAAACCATGGCATCAAGTGCCATATCGAGTGTATTTTTAAACACACCCAGGGATGGTGACTCCACCACCTCCCTGGGCAGGCCATTCCAGAACTTTCTCACTCTTTCAGTAAAAACTTTTTCCTGATATCCAACCTAAATTTCCATTGGTGCAGCTTGAGACTGTGTCCTTTGGTTCTGGAGAAAGAGCCCAAGCCCAGCTGAGCACAGGCACCTTTCAGGGCGTTGCAGAGTGATGAGGGCAGCCCTGAATCTCCTTTTCTCCAGGCTGAGCACCCCCAGCTCCCTCAGTTGTTCCTCCCAGGGCCTGTGCTCCAAGCCCCTCACAGTAACTCCCTGGTTACTCACCAGGGCCCCACAGAAGAGGCAGGGCCCAGAGCCCTCCTGCTCACACACAATGCGCCCGCACTCCAGGCAGTTGTTGATGAGTTTGTGCTTCTGGCCCAGGCACTCGCAGGCGTGGCGGCCTGGGATGAGCACGGCCAGCCTGTCCTGCCCCTCTCTGGTGTACAGGCTGACATACTTGGGCTTCTTCTTGCAGGAAATGCTACTGCTGCTGACCCCACTGCTGCTCTCCTGGGCCTGGGAAGGGAAAAAATAAACAAACAAACTGGGCAGCAGAGAGCCAGCACTGACCCCCGGGCAGGCCAGGAGCTCAGACAAGTGTGTTACTCTGCCTCACTGCAATGGAACTTGGACCAGACCCCAGACTGAGCGGAAAGACAAGCTCAGGCCTGCCAGAAAAGCTCCAAGGAATCCAAACAAAGCAAGGACACCAGGATGCACTCGATGTTTGCCACCCATGCCAGCTGGAGCTGGTGGGATTTGGGCAGCGAGTGCTGCTCTCTGTGCTCTGCACAGCCTCATGCCTGTTTAACAGCTCCAAACAGCAGCTCAGCTACTCCTGATGCCCCAGGGTTTGGATTTTCTATATTTCAGATTCTGTTCTGCTTTAGTGTGCAAGTCCAGGCTTCATATTAGGAGACAGTAGGGAGCCACAACAATTCCTACTCTAGCTGGGGACCCAAGGACAGCTGATCCAAATCTCAGCCCCAAGAGCACAAACAACAAGGGCTGAAGAGAGAAAACAGGAAGGATGGGACTGCATGGGCTGAAGCTGTAATTGTTTTAGGCCAATATGCCAATAGAACCAAAACTGGGACTTCATGGGCTGCTGGAGCTGTAACTGTTTTGGTCCAAAATGCAAATGGACCAAACTGATAAAAGTGTGTGTGACCCCATAACCTGTGGTCCATTTTGTGGCCATTTTGGGTTGTGCTGCCCAAGGTGGATCCATTGAGGCCTCTTAATAAATCCCTACTTTATTCTTTAGCTCAGTCTAGTCTCTGTTCTGGGTCAGCCCTCACAAGGCATCGCTCCCAAGCTCATTTCCAAGGGTTATTTAGACTCCCTGTTTGTAGCTGTGCACCCTGGGCATTCCCAGCCACATCACCTCCCAGCAGCCTCCCCAAATCCCACCTGGCACAGCCACCTCAGAAGGAGGTTTTCCACACAGGAGGGTTCAAGTACTGAGCTGTAAAACAAATTCTGCTCCTCCCTCTGTGATCTGGCCTCAGTGATTCCATCCAAGTTTCAATCTGGTTTAGTGACAAGCAGATGCAGCATTTCCAGTCCTCCCAGTAAGGTCCAACTGGTTTTAGTGCCACTGCCAGATTCACTGCCACCATAAAATACCCAAAAGAAGATAGATCTGCCAAAGTTCTTTTTCTCACTTTTTTTTTAATTTTAATTAAGTTAGAAGGTAACTACAAGGAAATGGAACATCACTGTCCATTTTTAACCCACCAATTCAAAAATCTTGTGGTTTATCCTATAAACACTTTTACAAAATACTTTCAGCCTTTGCAGCCTCCCTGCTCCAAAAAGTTCAATTTAAAAACATGAATTTAAGTTCCACTCCTTACTCAGGAATTGCAGCATTTCCCAGGTTTTGGTGTTTCTATGCTCTTATTCCACAGTTTCTTTCTGAAGTGTTTCAGTTTCTAATTAAAGCTTCAATCAGTGTGAGATAGTTTAAATACAGTAGGAAAGGATGTTCTAACCACTTGGTGGCTTCAATTCCCCACCCTCACATCTGATTTAAAGAAATCCCTTTTATTCCTAATTACAGCCTCAACTTCCTTCACCTGCTCTCTCTTCTCAGGTTTTCTAGGGGAGAAAAATCCATGCTGGCATATTTGCTACTTGATTATTTTATCCCAGTTACAGACACAAACAGACACAACCTTTCTCCCCAGCCTGGACATCATAGAAACATGGAAATGGTTAGGTTGGAAAAGCTC